GACAATGTGTGACAGTCGTAAAATCGCGAGAACGGCGCTCGCTCGGCGCGTTCGCGAAGACAGCACGCCGGTTTCTTTCGCCTTCAACGCCAAAGTCACGTGCCCGTTTCACGCCGCTGGCAAGTAGCGTAATTGTTTGCGCGAAAGAGAGCAAGTCTACTCTCTTGAGACTTGAATCGATAAAATATACAAATTATTGTGCCGCGAAGTCACGGATGTAAAAACGGCGGCGTTAGGAATTTGCACGTGAATTTTTCTTCCTCGGGCACTCGCACGTGCGAGAGTTTATCGCGCCTGCGGCACGGTATATCGCTAAATAAAAAGATGCCCCGTGTACCGTTAAGTGATCCTTTCAGCGAGACTCCGCTGATTGCGGAGCTATATAACTTAATACCGTCATAACAGCGGCTACGAGTATTATAGGCGCTTCGGCGAGGAATTCACCGATCGTAGATGCAGAGAGTAGCGAGTCTGGGTGCAGTCGCGAGAGAAGAGAAAAATGTCCGGATACGCAATCGCGGTGACAATAGCGAAGTGTACAATCGCGGAAAGTGATTTCGCCGGAGAAAGTGATTTCGTGACGACGTCCACCACGCCCCGTGATGCTCCACTTGACGAAGGCCTCGAGCTTTTGTTTCGCGAAACCGTTGATTTGCGAACCGCAAACGTCGGCGGAACGGCAATTCGCGGTGCGGCCTGTCGAGGGAAGAGAACAAATCCCAGCGAGCGAGAGAGAGAGAGAGAGAGCAAGAGCGAGAGAGAGAGAGAGAGAGAGAAAGACTAACTAGACCAGCTGACGACTGATTAATCAGTTATGTCCGCGGGCGTCGTCGCGCATCGCCGGCTAATGAACACAAAGCGGACTTCTCCTGCGGACGCGTCGGAGCGTCGAACAAGCGAATTAATGACTCATAAAAAAGACGATATATGAATGAATTTATCACCTGCGCGAGAAGCAGGTCGATGTAAGGACTAATCGCGCTCGCGAGAAAACGGTACGCGCGTTACAGACTCGCGTCGCCGATGAGATGCCGTTAAATTATGCGTGACTTTCGTCGTTTGAGAGCTCGCGTAGTCGCTGCGTACGGCTCCGATCATCGGCTGAAAGGAATATTCAGAAGTAGGGCACCTACATAACTCACATCTCGTCTCGTGCCCTCGAGCCGAGCGGAGAATGCGCGAGCAGAAACGAAGAGGAAGATTCGAAGGCGAACAACGGTCGCCTTCGTGCCTTTAAAATTAACCGCGCGCGCGGAAATTTCGCCGGGAGCGCATCTTGCTCTCGGCTTCGCAGCCGGTTTCCCATTGAGGAGCTTTCCGCTCTACTACACTTCGCAGCAACGAGTCGACAACGATCGGCAATTTCGTGCGCATTACCTCGTGCTCGAAACCGCCGCGATATATCGACTGGCCGTCGGTTAATTCGCGCGAGTTAATCAACAAACAAGAGCGCTGCGCGATTTAACGGGTAACGGCAACAACGTTCGCATTATGAATTATCATTGCGTGATCGCCCGCCATATTTTCTCGCGAAGATGAGCGCGATAGAATGCGCGAGGTAATGCATTCGCTCGTTTGCTCGTCCGTCTGTGCGTCAAGTCGCAACGAAATTGCACGCTGCGAAATGCAATGTCGCCGCGGCGATTACGACGGGCCAGTCCGGCGCAACACACAGCGCTTCTCCGTCGCCGTGAAGAGTCGTCGTCACCGTCGGCCTCGGCTCGCGTATCAAGAGCAGCGTTGTTCGTATTTTGCAAGCGTTTGGTGCAAGACACGCCATCGCAAGGCTCGTCGCCGCCGCCGTCGTCTTCGTCTTTATCGCCGTCGTCGTCGTTGCCGTCGATATTGTTATCGTCGTCGTGCTACCGTGTCGAAAGCCGAAGCCCACTTTGCACGCATGTGGCACATTAACGGCACATAATGCCTTAGAAAGCACGAAAGAGATCGTCACATGCTGTATGTAAACACTCTCGGTTACTGGAACAGATGTACAGGGTGTTCCGTAAGTCGAGGTCAATCGTTCGAGAAATGAATGGGGAACCACAAACAGGAAAGAAAGTTGATACAAACATAGGTCCAAAAATGCGTTGTTTTCGAGTTATCGCCATTTTTATGTTAAAATTTGAAATTGCTTTGCTTTCGAATTTTTTTGGTTTTGGAATTTCGATGGTTTTTATGAGTTTCCAAACACAACTAAAGTCAAATAAAAGTTGCGGGCTGCTTTAGCACTACCCAGGATGCACCGCGTGGAGGTACAGCCCGCTTAGCATCCCTTGGCAGAGATCAGGACCCCACAGTTCGTCACTCCTGTGGTATTTAGTAACTCCAAACCCTCTCTGTCGTGTGTATGTGTGTGTGTGTGAGTGAACGTAAAAATTATGAGGTGTTCGAAATGACCTCCTTCTGCATGAATGCAGGCTCTAAGCCTTCTTTCTAAGGAGTCCCGAACTCTTTGTAGCACTTTCGGATTTTCTCTAATGTTTTCAAATCCATTAGTTATTCTTTGCCTGAGTTCATGGAGTCACTCCACAGGATATACCACAGGATAAATACCACAGGAGTGACGAACTGTGGGGTCCTGATCTCTGCCAAGGGATGCTAAGCGGGCTGTACCTCCACGCGGTGCATCCTGGGTAGTGCTAAAGCAGCCCGCAACTTTTATTTGACTTTAGTTGTGTTTGGAAACTCATAAAAACCATCGAAATTCCAAAACCAAAAAAATTCGAAAGCAAAGCAATTTCAAATTTTAACATAAAAATGGCGATAACTCGAAAACAACGCATTTTTGGACCTATGTTTGTATCAACTTTCTTTCCTGTTTGTGGTTCCCCATTCATCTCTCGAGCGATTGACCTCGACTTATGGGACACCCTGTATACAATGCTCTTCGACGAAGAGGACGACGGCGACGAAAATGAAGACGCTACGAGAGTACCGCTACCTCTCGAAATGGGACAGAAGAAAAGGGGCAAAAGTGGAATTCCACCCGGATATTGCAGCCGGAAGAGCCGCAGAAATCGACTCTACCAGTTTGCTGTTACACTTTATATGCGCTCGATGCACAACGGAGGTTGGCGATATGCGTTACACCTTGCATCTACACGACTCTTGAGTATTCTTCGAACGCGGCCGTTACAGTCATGGTTACATACGTACATCACGTGCGTAAATTACGTATGTAAATAGCGAAGAATGTATAAATATATCGAGCTTTTGAATGTAGATTCTGAGCCACATATTACCCTCGATATTCAGATACGGTTTATGTCGAACTGAAAATAGTCGGCAATATCATCCTTCCACCATTATTTCCAATCTCCTCTAGCCGACTCTCTCTCTCTCTCTCTCTCTCTCTCTCTCTCTCTCTCTCTCTCTCTCTCTCTCTCTCTCTTTCCCTCCTTTTAGTCACAAAAATGTATCAAAACGGACGATCTGTAACGAATTATCTCAGCAGGCTCATGAATAATGATTCGCATTGACGACAACGCCATTTTCCTCTTAACCTCAACCAAAAAAGGAAAAGGTGTTCAAAGCATTTCGCAAGCGAGTCCGCTGATTGAAGATTACGACATTTGTAACTCGATGAATTTTGCAACGCGTTCCGTACCCAGTAGGAAATTATCTGAGGATTATTGAAAACCAAATTCTATCGCTTACGGGATGCATTGCGAAACTCATCGAGACAAAATGTTGCAACATTCCATCAGCCGACTCTGCCCTAATGACGGTACCCGAATATCCGGGTAATTTCAGACTACCACCGGGTAGTCGATTATCCGGCTGTTTAGATTTGACACCATTCTAATCTATTATTACGGGCCTGCAACAATTCACCAGGTCGTTAGCCGCGCCGAGGCAAAACAGAAAGTCACAATGACGTCAGGATGACGGGGAAATAATCGAACCCAAGTAGAACAAATCAATCATGAAACGCACCATGACCGTGTCGTTGCTCCGTCAAACGCAATATTTTCCAATAAAGTGACCGATATTCAGTTCACAAACAGCCAATATATTCGAGTCCTTCGCTTTACTAAATTGATGAGTCTAATTAATCTGTCTTAATTAATCTGAATATAAATTGATAAGTCGTAATTTATCATGCATTCAAATGGCAAATTTATACATGACAATCTTAAATATTTTACTGTTTTTTGGCACAATAAGATGTATACTGTGAGAATATTATCTTCAGATACATTACATAACTCTCACTCTTCTTTTTATCATATATTTTTAATTTTCTTTTTTTTGAAACCGCATGAGAAGCGGCCAATTAAAATGAAAGAAAAGTTGTTCGAATTTTATGGATATATAAAAGATCAGTCGTGCCATGCTACATTTTTTTGTAGATTTGCTGAAAAACTGCGATGAATAATGCAGGAAAAGCTCATTAAGTCAACGTTGGCCATGTCCGCTGATTTGTCCTCTTCCGTTGCCTTCCTTGCATATAAAATTCTGACGTCCTGACATAAAATTGATATTCTGACATTTTAAATTGAAATCTCAATATGAAATTAATTCCTGATGTTCCGCAACATAAAAATTATCATTTTAATGTCGCCTTGATGTCTTCGAAATAAATCTGCTCCATCTGGAGACTTAATATTTTCATCATCATTTACTCGTACTCTTATTTTGTAATGTTGGATATCTCTTCTATTAAGGAAGCAGCATATATTACGTGTTCGGTCAAAGTCATTGCCACCAGGAAGTGCGTGACTTGTTTTACTTTACAAATGACTTTTTAGATAACCACGCGATCTGCAAGATGGCTTCTCAAATCGTAGAGCGACTCATCGGAACCTCTGGATATCTCTTTCATTAACAAGATAGCACCTGTTCGGTCAAAGTATCCGCCATTATTATCGGAAAGCGATGATCTTTCGTCGCATTTCGGGCAATCCTCTGCATAATCTCGCGTCTGCGGAAAGGCTCATCGAATCGTCGACAACTCGACGAACATTTCCCGGTCCCTGACCAGTTACTGCCTGTTACAGATATTCCGGCAACATGGCACCGAATCTGTTCGGCACTTCCGCGACTTTGTTCCTCGAGGCCACTCAGCAGGACGTATCGCAGAACAAACCGTCGTCGGAGAAGAGCGCGGCGCAAAAGCTGTCGCCGTTGCAGAAGGCACCGAGTGCGAACCCCAAGTATGCATGGAAAATCGTCTGGCGGAACGTGATAGCCTTCTTCTATCTCCATGTCGGTGCACTTTACGGGCTCTACCTTTTAATAACGGCTGCCAAATCGTACACGGCTGTGTGGGGTACGTTTATGCTAATAAATTGAAGTTGGTTGCATTTCATGAGCAATTTAACACGTTAGCGGAATAATTCTCGCTAACGACGAATAACCGAACAAAGATCGATGATATTTCTTGATAAAATCGCGACTGCTTCGTCGCGTCGTGAAAAATCTCACGAAGACGGTGCTGTTGATGGCGCGTGTCGTTGATTTCTAATTTCAATCATCTAATCTAATGTTTGTTCTTCAGGTATATCGATCGCCGTGTTCGCGGCTATCGGCGTTACCGGAGGTGCTCATAGATTATGGGCTCATCGGTCGTACAAAGCCAAGTGGCCGTTGAGAGTAATTCTCATGATCTTCCAGACGATGGCTTTCCAAGTAGGTCTCCTTGATTTTTTCTTTTTTGTTCTATCGGTCATTCAGCTTATTAATCTATTAGCGATTCATTTATGCACGAAAACTGGGTTTGCTCTAACGTCATAGAAATAAGTCATCTAATGATGTATGTCACATATAAATGTGCGTTATATATAGTGTATCCGGGATCTTTTGGAAACGAAAAATTGTGATGATTAAACCGAGAGATCAAACCGAGAAGAAAAGTCATGTACCATTTTGCAAAAATCCTGATAATTATTAAGTTATTAATGATTGGAAATGACATCTAGAAGCTCTTTTAATTGGTAATTTGAAAATTTGCGTACTTATTTGCAAAATGATAAAGGACTTTTTTGTTCAGAATGACCTAATCTACAATTATATGATAAATTATAATTTTATTAATATATATATATGTTAATAAAATTATAATTAACCTATATATAATATATATAATCAGTCTATATTATACGAAATTGCAAATTGTATAAAGCATATATAACGTTGACGCACGCATTCTAGAGAAAGAAGGAGAGAGAGAGAGAGAGAGAGAGAGAGAGAGAGAGAGAGAGAGAGAGAGAGAGAGAGAGAGAGAGAGAGACAGGGAGAGACAGGGAGAGACAGGGAGAGACAGGGAGAGACAGGGAGAGACAGGGAGAGACAGGGAGAGACAGGGAGAGACAGGGAGAGACAGGGAGAGACAGGGAGAGACAGGAGAGACAGGAGAGACAGGGAGAGACAGGGAGAGACAGGGAGAGACAGGGAGAGACAGGGAGAGACAGGGAGAGACAGGGAGAGACAGGGAGAGACAGGGAGAGACAGGAAGAGACAGGGAGAGACAGGGAGAGACAGGGAGAGACAGGGAGAGACAGGGAGAGACAGGGAGAGACAGGGAGAGACAAGGAGAGACAGGGAGAGACAGGGAGAGACAGGGAGAGACAGGGAGAGACAGGGAGAGACAGGGAGAGACAGGGAGAGACAGGGAGAGACAGGGAGAGACAGGGAGAGACAGGGAGAGACACGGAGAGACTAGGAGAGACTGGGAGAGACAGGGGAAGTGAAAGAGAGAGAGAGAGAGAAGTTCCATGTAAGAAAGGTTATTTACTATCATTTGTTTACGTTTCGCACAGAATCACATCTACGAGTGGGTGAGGGACCACAGAGTTCACCACAAGTTCACGGACACGGACGCGGATCCGCACAACGCGCAACGGGGCTTCTTCTTCTCGCATATGGGTTGGCTCATGGTTCGTAAACATCCGGACGTCATCAGCAAGGGCGCCACGATCGATATGAGCGATCTCGAGAAGGACCCGGTCGTTGTTTGGCAACGCAGGTACAACGGGAACAGCTCTTATTGTCTCATCATCGAGGAAAATATCTTTCCTCAAGGAAACTCACTCGACAATGGCTCACAAACGCAGGTGATGCACGCGATATGTCGGGCGGATTTCATGAGAGCGTTTCTTTCAGGTTGTACATCATCCTGATGCCCACGTTGTGCTTCCTCCTCCCCACATGGGTGCCATGTTATTATTGGAACGAGAAGCCCATGTACGCGTGGTACGTTTGCATCATGAGGTACACGTTGTCGCTGAACATAACTTGGCTGGTGAACTCCGCGGCTCACATGTACGGCATGAAGCCGTATGACAAGTGAGTGTTTTCACACACCGTAAACTATTCGGGAGATTTCTCGTTGCGAAATTCGAGTTGCGATATCGTCTCTCATTATCTCCCTCTTTCTTCCTCTCTCTCTCTCTCTCTCTCTCTCTCTCTCTCTCTCTCTCTCTCTCTCTCTCTCTCTCTCTCTCATTCTCACTCTCTCTCTCTCTCTGTTTTTTTCTTTTTTCGTAACGCTCTTTGAGAAGAAACCCTCCCTAAAATAACGTACCTCTCCGTCTCGCATTCGCAGTAATATCGTTACCTTGCACTACTTCTCCCCGTCCATCTTACTCCCTTTTTTGTAACGCTCATCAAGGACAAAATTCCAAAGTGAAGATAAACGCCATCTATCTATTTTTCCGGTTATCTACTTACTCTTCACTCTTCCTCACTTCCTTAGTTCCATCAGCCCCACCGACAGTCTCAGTGTCGGCATCGGCGCCTTCGGCGAGGGCTGGCACAATTATCACCACGTCTTCCCATGGGACTACAAGGCCGCCGAGTTGGGCAACTATCGCACCAACTTCACCACCGCCTTCATCGACATGTTCGCTAAGATCGGCTGGGCATACGACCTGAAGACAGTGGCGACCAATATAGTGAAAAAACGCGCAGCCAGAACGGGTGACGGTACGAGATACGAGCGAGCGGCCGAAGCGCATCAGCACTCGCATGCGAACGCTATATGGGGCTGGGGTGACGCGGACATGCCCGCCGAGGATATACAGAAGGTCCAGATCTTCAACAAGGGCGATTAAATCTGTTCTTTGCCGCCGTATCTTCGTAGTCCAAGCGAGCACCACGTAGAACCGCACGTCGGACGGGCGCGCGACACGCATGATCGTTGATTCACGGTGTGTTGCAGTTTGAGAATTTATTCTATGAATATCGCGGTCGTTCCCGATCTCGGAGGATCACGCGATGGTGTCATGCTCGTGACGCTTCACGTGTGAACACAAGGCGATGACAAGGTCGCGATTTCCACGCGATCGATGGGCGACCTCGGTAGTCATTTCGCTTCTTGATTGATGACACACCGTGGCTTCAGGTAACAAAATCTTTTTCGCCCGTTTCTCAACGTCAGTTCATTGATGACGCATGATGAAGGTCGCAGCAATTTTTCCGGTAAATCTTGTGTAAATTTTTCCGTAAATCTTTTCCGTAAATCAACGTGTGCGTATTCTGTAGGAAAATTTGCCTTTTCGATAATCCTCGATAATTCGGAAGGTAAACTTTCCTGTTGGATTCCAGACGTGTTTTCATCGGGTACTCGGATAGTTTGAGGAATATTCGCGGGCACCCTGATTCGAGTAGTCTCTAACTAAATTATCGATAAACGCGACAATCGTCGGACATGCGAATTCTATGCTGGTAAGTCTCGTTGCGGACAAGAAGCTAATAGGAGAACGGTGACTGGTCGCACATCAAGGAGCACCACCGACTGCTCGATGCCGTGATTGTCGTGAAGAAGTCGATCCGAGGATGATAAGGGTGGTCTGTGCAGGTAGACAAAAAACCCACGTGTCCCCTCGGCAACCGCAGCGAAGTGGTTCTCCTGCCGACACGCGAGCTGCGTCACTGTTCTCGAATTAGCGTCCTCGTGCAAGTTTATCTACTACTATCCCTCTATCTCTATTCTCCGAATTATTTTATCTACCGTGCTAGTAAGTTGTACAATGAACGATCCAAAGATCAGTGGTGAATCGTTATAATGACGTCAATTAATATTTATTACTATAATATTACTACTATGCGTTTGTTACCGCGTTCCTCTCTTCGAGTCGGCCGTCGGGAAAAGGAAAGGAAGGAAGTGTCGCGAGCTCGATAGTGGGAACGGAAGAGGAAAGGAAAGAAGGAGGAAGGAAAGATAGGAAGAAAGCTCGTTCGACGGCGATTTCTTCCCAGACCGATCGACTGCCGAGATCTATCGACCGAGGTGTCTCTTCCAATCAAGGATCTATGAGATGGAAAGCGCGTACCATATCCTTTATTGTTGATTTTTATTATTATCGAGATAACGTTTCGTCAGGAAGACTCGGCTTGGGGGGATCGAGCGAGGTCTCGCGAGACCTCGCGAAAGACGTGATTTGAATCCCGCATATCCCGTACGCGGACCTGCCATCGCCGGGCCGCTTTCCAGCTGCGGAGACTCGTGCGTCGCTCGACCCCGGCTCGATTTCTCCTCGACATCGAGGGAGATTTTTGCGAGGGGAACGGCAATATGCATATGAAATCGACCACGCTGCAGCGTTCGTTGCACGAAGAGAAGTGGCCCTCCCGGCTGGAGTGCTCCATCGGGAAAAGTCGAGCCGAGGTCGAAGGTGCGCGTCTCGGCAGGTCCGCGACGTTCCTCGTGTCGCACGTGATCGCTACGTCGATGGATCCGTCGACGGGGCGACACACAGTGGGGCTAGATGACATTCTTTGGTTGAAAATTCTCTAGAGACCTGAATTTCCAACCGATCACCGACACCGATGGATGAGGTTGATCCTGAATAAATTCCGAAGAGATCTGTCTTGCCAAAATTTAAAAACAAATTTTTCTCTCGAATAACTAACCTCAAAAGAGGAAAAATTATCGTTAAACGTGAGAAACTTGTGAAATACACATTATTCGACACTCCTTCCTATCTAATAATTCTACCTAATCTATCTAATAATATTCAGCCGATTGAAATCGATCAACAGACACCTCGAGATTTATCGATCTTGAATCAGAAACCCATTAACCCAAAACTCATATGCCCAAAATACAAAAACGTCCGTAGTAGATCCGTTAAGCACAAACCGAGGGATCTTAATCCTTAATCCTTAATTCTTTCTTAATGTGGACTGAAATGATGAGCTTGGAGATTTTGAGTTTTCTAAAAGGTGATTATATGTTCTGGGGTCTCGCATTTAGTATCCATAGACTCGAACCCATTGAGGTCGAACCCAAGACACTGTGCTTTAAACGATAAACTTTTAAGACAAACCCTAAACCCATGAACCCTGGAGCGATAATTTTTTTCAAAATTTCGGCTAGACAGATCTCTTTGGAATTTATTCAGGATCAACAGCATCCATTGGTGTCGATGATCGGTTGGAAATTCAGGTCTCTAGAGTATTTTCAACCAAAAAATGTCATCTGGCCCCACTGTGCGACAGCCTGGGAATAGAACGCGAGGCTTCGCGCATAAGGTGCTCAATGTAAATGGACGCGGCGAGCGGTCATGCATCGTGTCGCGTCTTCAGGACGATCGGCCGATCCGGATCGGCGTGCTGGCGTGTTGTACTGTACAATCAATCACGTACCTACGAATCAAATTCATTCGTGGCCTTCGAAAATGACTGTTTAGGGTGGTGATGATGGCGATGTATTAGGCTATTTCTACCGACTTGTTTTCTCTCTCTCTCTCTCTCTCTCTCTCTCTCTCTCTCTCTCTCTCAGTCAATTCCGCGCGACGCGCGACGTCGCTGATTAACAATAATCGAGCAGCCGGCTCGGTCTGCAAGAGCCTCGGGCGATCGCCGTGTAACAATCGAGCGATCGATGCTCACTCGGTGTGAACGCTTCGTAGAGCCTCGCAAGGCTTAGCGAGCAGAAAATCGAGAAGATCCGCGCGCACGAGGACACATTTGCGACCACGAGCAGCGACCACGTGGACGAGCGGAAGCGTAGTGTTGCACGTGGTGCACGTCGCGCGTAGTAAGCGTGCGCGTGACTAGCTTAAATTCTCACGGGTCGTTTCGATCGCGTCGTGTCTCGACTCGTTTCGGATGCGACGAGGCGACGTCTCGTCACCCACATTGTCGAGTATCACCTGTGTGTCGCTGTGTGTCTACCTGTGGCAACGTGACCGTCGAGCGTCGTTTCGACTCGGAAAGTGTCGTACTTTCAACGACCGAAGGTCCCCGGACAACGAGAACGTCTTAGAAATCTTTAGAAAATCTTTGAAGCTGTTTTCATAGAAGGCGATATTCATAGCCCGATCTTAACCTCTCAGGCACGATGCGCCACTATAGTGGCTTTCGCGGATGTCATCTTATATTACGACGCGCCACTATAGTGACTCACTCTAGTGACTCACTCGTTCACCGTTTGAATTAACTGATCGTTTTCATATGTCTTGTTTCACACTTTTTTTGCCTTCACAACGTTTTATAACAGTGTTAACAACATACGGACAGAATATACAGTCTTTGTTTTTGACACGCCAGTGTCAGGTATGAATTGTTGCTTTTCGTTTAAATAAATATACCATTTGCTCTTTTGCCGAACATGCCGATCCGTATCCTTATAATTTTTAAAATTGAAGTACATGTATCATATCTTTAAGAAAAATTATAATTTAATCATCAAAAACTTCATTCCAATGTGCTCGCGTAGAGAACAGCATTGTCCGTCACACATTGCAGTGCTGTATCGTTTACGCGTAATTCGCGTTGAACTCTGCCGTATAGAGAAACAGCCCCGCGCAAATTCAGCCGTGCCTAAGAGGTTAATACCGACAATGAGATCTCAAGAGTCTCAAGATCACCTTAACGTACAATAGATGTACAGTAACTTAAATGTGACATTGCGGTAGCATTTCTCGAGTTGTCCCGAGGATCTTCTTGCAAGAGCAAAGTAACTACGATATGTAGAATGCATTTTCGTCAAGGACCGTTCTCGCGTCAGTCCCGTCGCTTATGACGCGTATGCAAGCGAGAGACTAACGTTTGCCGTCCGAGCAGCAGGTAGAACGGGTGTCACGTTGTCACGACTCGCGAATATTACGACATTTGTGCAAGCAGACCGCGTAAGCTTCTAAAATACACGTGGGAAACGTCTTGAAAGAGTCTTCAAAACGTCTCTTGGAAGTTTAGCCCGCGTGACTCACATCAGCCGACGACGCACGAGACCGTTCTCGCGTTAAGGCTCGTGTCCACTGTGTGACGCTGCGTCTCGCAGTGATTGCACGCAAAAGTGATTGCAAATTACCGCAAGCGTTCATAATTTCGCCGAAACGTCGTCTAGTGACTTTCACAGCCGAGGGGCAGCGTTGTGCCGACTTTTGTCAGTATCAGTATCGTGGACATGGTCAAAGGTTGTAAAGCGTTGTAAAGCGGAGACGATCGATCGGCAGGTGAGCGACTCGAGTGCGTGGGTGACGCGATGGCAGCCGTTCGCGATTAATTAGCGGACGATTCGGCGCGACGCGGCTCGAGTTCTGTCCGTTCGTCTGTCCGCCTGCCCGCCTGTCTTCCGTGAATGACTGTTGACCTCGAGCCCGGCCGCGACGTCGAATGGCGATTTCGCAAGGGCGATCGTTTGCGAAAGCGCGCTTCCCTCGGACGCTAATTGCGCGACACACGACAGCCGGTCAATTAGTGCCCGCCGCATTATCGGCAGCGACTCGCAATAACAAACACCGGACGTGTGCCGGCGCGCAACGAAAATTAATGCCGTGCCCGGAATGCCGCGCGCGGCTGGCACGATTATTCAACACGAATCTCTCCGGGACGCTCCCGCGAATTTCGTACTCGCGACGTACGGCGAGATTCACTCCGCTCAATCCCATGCACGGTGTAACGCAACCTGCCCCAGGTAGGAGAGAAAGTCACGGCAACGTGGGAATGACGTTGAAATGGCGAGAGAGCGATCGATCGACCGAACGATCGAGTCATGATTGAAAAGTGAATAGATCAACCAGATGTAGTCGACTGGAGACGAAGAAGCCAACGCGAGATTAGGCTAAACGAGCAGAATAAATGAATAGATAGATATAAATAAAAATGTCGAGCCTGAAGTCTCATTTCAGCTCTCATTAAAGCTGCGCATTTAAATCTGAAATTGAATCTCAGATCAAATTGGAGCCTGTTTTAAGTAAAATGAAAGAAATGGGATTTACATCTCTCGCTCGGCTTTTTCGTCTCTGGATCGCAAAGCGAGTTTTTACGGTCATCTTTTTCAGCCGTCTTTCCTTCGGCGTCGTCGTCGTGATTTTGTCTGTATTACATGATCGCGCGAGTAAGCGAATGCAGTAAATCTAGTTAGGCTAAAGGCGTATGTAAGAAAGATAGAAAATTTCATCAGCTTAGAGAAGGACGATCGTTTAAGTTCACAAATCGGCCCGCTGAATTGAAGCCGGCTGAACGTCGAGACTCGACCGAGTTGTCGAGAGCGTGAAGAAACGCGGTGAAATCGCGCGATTAGTCCTCGTACCTTTACTCGAAAGGAAGAAAAAGCGTCGTCCGCAAGAACGCCCGCGTATCGCTTCGCGTTATCGTATCGCGCGCATTACGCTCGCGTGATGACTCACGCTATGACCGGACTCCTCTCTCGCGAGAGCCAGACGATCGTTCGACAAATTTCCGCTGAAGCGCTATGTATAGACAGAGGCCCCGGAACCTCGGGGCTTTCATGTTCCCGAGAAGTCCCCTCGGCGATTTAGGAGTTAGCTTCCGCTCGGCGGGAACGTCCAAAGTAACGTCGATGATTTCCGAAACACAAATACGACCGAAGCCTCATTGGACACTGGTCGAAATTGAGAAATTTCGCTTGATCAAAATAATCAAAGTCAGCACCGAGTCACTATATCGTGACTGCACTGACTGATTTATTTCTTTCTAATTATGATCGCTTCGATCGGTTACCTTCGACTGATCAAAACTGCCTCATAAATCTTTCATAATTACGAGACATAATGCGAAGGACTTTGATTATATCAATCTGCCGGTTATATTTGACTCAGTCAGCCGGGCTTTTAATCGACCGACAGGCAGCGTTGTTGCAGAAATAAGTAAAGTGTTGAAAATTCGAGAGAGAAAATTCATGACTTGGAGGATGTTTCAAGGTTAGGCGTACTTTCCGACGAGGGGAATTGTCTCGAAGTCGCCGACGGGACGGAATCGGTGGAATATGAAGGTCTCGAGATCCGGGACACTTCCGTGTCCCGATTGATAGCTCGTTAAGCGCGCGCGAGGTCACCACGCCGATCAGAAAGCCGATTCTCTTTGTCCGTTTCCGCCTAGCCCGATAGGCAAGTATGCCGAGATCACAGTTGTGTACCAATTTTCTCATAGGAGAGCACCTCCCCGGCACCTCCGTGGTGCGTACGACATTTAGAAGCGATAGAGAAACATCGTACGAAGTCGTAGTGTCTCGTGTAAGTTTTACTAAGAGGGAGCGTAGTGTTTTAGTAGGGGGAGGTTAACATGTGCGATTATTAATCGCGAGGCATCTCGCGCTGCCTCCGCTGTGTGTTTTGTATTTGCATTCTCGTTCCTTCCGAACGTAGATTTTGCTAAGACAATATTATCAACACATTTACACTGTATTTATAAATAAATTATTGTTATCGCGCGATTGTGTGTGTGTGTGTGTGTGTGTGTGTGTGTGCTGACCCTCGCTCGGGGCGTATCCACGGATCGCCGAGTCCTCCTTTCGTCTCGATAAGAGGTGACAGCGAGCTTGCGCTCATTATCGCGCGTTATCGCCAGATAACAATCCTCGCATCGCGCGCTGGACCGTTGGCGTTTACTTGCCTCGCCGTTTGCGTCGGCCGGCGCGATTTAATCGGCCGCACCGAGACTCCGCCGAGGAAACTCCGCGGGAGAGTCCAGGTGACGCGGGAACGCGCGACGATAACGAAATGACGAAATTGCAATTTATTCCCGGCATAAATCCATCGCGCGTGTGTACCTGTACCTGTCTCTCTGTGTGTGTGTGTGTGTGTGTGTGCACACGCGCACACGCCTCTGTAAGTGCTAATAATTGCTTTGCCTAATCGCAAATCTCCGGAACACGACTCGTCTTTGCGACACGTCGCCGATGCGCGACGCTCACGTAACGCTCGCCCCCTTGCGAAAGACCTCGCGACGACCTCGCGAATTTTCGACCTCGTTCTAGCGTGCAGTGCACACGGTGCCTCGCGCGCGATCGCGCCCGCGATTACGAATGCACTTGCGAATATTTGCGAACCGCGACAGGAGAGTCGCCGCGCGCATCGGTTTACCTCGCCGGCTGCGTCTTGATTGTTTTACCGACATCGTCGCGGGCTCTCGACGTTGCTTCTCGCCGGATGGAGCTTCGTAGCAACGACGTCCCCGCCTTCTCCGCGACTCCTTTCGGCGCACAGTGGGGCCAGATGACATTTTTTGGTTGAAAATTCTCTAGAGACCTGAATTTCCAACCGGATCATCGGCACCAATGGATGAGGTTGATCCTGAATAAATCCCAAAGAGATCTGTCTAGCCGAAATTTTGAAAAAAATTATCGCTTCAGGGTTCATGGGTTTAAGGTTTGTCTTAAAAGTTTATCGTTTAAAATACAGTGTCTTGGGTTCGAGTCTATGGATACTAAATGCGAGTCCCCAGAACATATAATCACCTTTTAGAAAACTCAAAATTTCCAAACTCATCATTTCAGCCTACATTAAGAAAGAATTAAGGATTAAAATCCCTCGGTTTTGTGCTTAACGGGTCTACATTTGATGTTTTCGTATTTTGGGCATGTGAGTTTTAGGTTAATGGGTTTTTGATTCAAGATCGATAAATCTCGATGTGTCTGTTGATTGGTTTCATAGTTTCAATCCGCTGAATACGCTATTAGATAGAAATAAGCGTCGAATAATGAGTATTTCACAAGTTTCTCGCGTTTAACGATAATTTTTCCTCTTTTGGGGCTAGTTATTCGAGAGAAAAATTTGTTTTTAAATTTTGGCAAGACAGATCTCTTCGGAATTTATTCAGGATCAACCTCATCCATTGGTGTCGATGATCGGTTGGAAATTCAGGTCTCTAGAAAATTTTCAACCAAAGAATGTCATCTGGCCCCACTGTGCGGTGATCCTGCGATCGGCCTACGCGCTACGTCAACTCGCGAACGCGAGAAAGAAAGAGAGTTTCTTATTATTGGAAGCCAAGTTCCTTCCAAACAATAAGAGCGGTAAGATTCGATCGAATATCACGTGTGCGGTGATCGATCATCCAAGAAAAGGTATTCTATTTGTAAAGTGATTTTTCCCACAGTCTCATATTCTAAGAGAAGCCTTTTACAGAAAAAGGATTCCTCTTTCGATAAGGCGATTAAAGTGTGAACCACTCATCCAAAATTTATTAGATATTATTCCAACTGTTTTCCTCTTATTTCAAGAGGATTTCCTTTTATATCAATTAATTTTTCTCTTATAGGAGGAGAAGAGGAATATGTTGGCTTGAATGTCGGCTTCTTTTGTTCAGTCATGCTCTTTTGCGCAGTCATGCATTATAATAATTTTTTTCAAATTTATTGGTATAACCAGTAAGAATAAGTAGTACAGTAAGAATAAATAATTATCCTCTTAAGAAGAGATTAAATAATCTGTGTACAAGAGAAGATTTATATTAAAATCAATAAGATTTGCATTATACATATAACATATAACCCCTCTGACTTTAAGAACAATGTGTTTATAATATTTTCCTCTCAATTTTAGAGGAATTTTCTTGAGACCATATATAAGAGTAAAATCCTCGAAAATTTAAATGATTTCGCTTGTTCTAAAGTTACTTTTTCTTGGATGATTGACCAACCATTTATCGATTTTATTCGTTATTTATTAATAACCTCGGTGTTGGATAAAATCTACCGGATTCGCGTTCCCATTCTATTCGACGACGTGACATTTCGCGTTCAATTCGAAAGCCACGGGCTCATTGGCCCGTTGCAATCAGACGCGCGATTCAATGTCGCGGCGATATTATAAATACAAATGAATCAACGACGCTGTCTCGATCGCGCTTTCGCAAACGCGGTGCGCGTATGGGCGAGCCGACATGTTCCTCCGCGTAACATGCCACTCTAATTACGTCAATTTCGGCGAATGTTAATGAACGCGTGCGTACGCGGCGGCTAATTCGAGCCAATTGCTCGCGAATCCGAATGCAAGTCGGCCGCGCGGCGCGCGTCACATCCAATTAAGAGCGATTTTCGTCATAGAATCGGCCGAGCGCTGCGCGCCCGCGGCAACGGCGGCGAGGTGGGCGCAGTTTCTCCCGGGTGATCAAGCTCGAGAGTGAGCGAGATCGACGTGTCGGCATCGGGATCGCGCGCGTCTCCGCGAGTCGCGGAATTCGCCTCCGTTTTGCTTTGCGCTCGATCTTATCGCGCGACGGAGAAGCTCGTCGATAAGGGAGCGTCGTAAAAAGTACACGAGGAAAAAGTCCCGCGCGTATCTCGCGTCGAGCCGGAAAAAATCGACGGAATCGTTGGACTCTGAAATCCGGAAAGCCAGGAGAGACGGGGGGAGGAGGGTCGTGATGGATCGCGCATTATCGCCGGGGATCAACAAACACTCCCGAGAAGACCCCGCCGGCCGACAAGATCGCGTCTTCGCCCTTCCGATCGATGCCGAGTGCAACGATCGTTCTAATTAATATCGCGTGGCGTCGTTAAATCGTCTTTATCGGCCACTCCAAAACAGACGTAGTCGTCGAAGTCGCGTCGTTCGTGTGCAATTGGTGTGCAGCGATCATATCGTTCGTATATCGATAGTGAAGAAGTGATACATATTATCTCGTCTCAGGTAGCAGAAGCTCCCAAGGGAGAAGAAGAAAAGCGTCTCAAAAGGACTTGAAGATCTTCCGCTGCCTATTGCGAAGTTTTCGGGAGAAACCGAAAGAGAAAGACGGGAACAACAATAGTTAGGGGAGATACAAGAAATCATTTGAAATTTCGAGTTTGCCCCGGCTGGCCATTTTTGCAGGCGAGGTCGTGCCTGCAGGAATCGCTCCAAGGTCCAAGAGGGTGATACCTCGAGGTGCTCCTCGAGGTTGTCTCCTATTTATCGTTCACGACACGGAGTGTCTCGCGCAGCGATTCTGCCGAGTCGGGGGTTTCGCGTTCAAGCTTCGAGCTAGACGTAACTTTGGCGGTGAAATTGCGCAAATCAGACCGCGATCACCTTGAACGCGCTACAAGCGGCGTTAGATCGCGCAGGACAAAAAGAGAAAGCCGAAGAGACAGATCACTGTCGCATATATTTGCGGAGCCGACGGATGGCGAGGTTGGCGCGCTGCGTCCTGCAGGCAAGATAACTCGACGTTTTGCAGACGCGCACACACACAGAGGGGAAGCGTGAGTATGCAAAACGCCGCGTCTCCTGCTACCTCCGCGCCGTGAAAGTTCGTAATTTTCGTTGCACTCGCGCTCGCGCGTTGTTTCCGTCATTGGTCGCCATAGCCCGTAACGATCGATCGTTGCGCGGCAACGTTCAGGCGAAACCGCGGCGAGCGGAGGTGAAAATAAATTCTCCGGGCCGTTTGTTTCTTTCTTTCTCTCTTCTCGTGAATTCAAATATCAGATGATATATCATAAGATATCATAAGAAGAGAGAAAAGGAGAAATCGCCTGTGAGGCGATCGTTGGGCATCGGCGCGAATCAACGCAGCTGATGATCGCGCGGCAACGTTCGAGTAAAGTCGCGGCGAGTAAGAAGGTTAAGTCGAAGTTTCGAAAGAAAATTCAAGCGAGAGACTCAAGTTGACATTGGCATTAAGAGAGGTATAAAGTTCGGCGAGTTACTTGCTTCGTGTGTCCGAGGCCGCATTCTCTCGAGCTCGAAGACGCCTTGCGAAGCGCGACGATATAATTCGTGCATCTTGCAAAGATTAATTTGCAGTCCCGCGACGCTTCTCTCCATGGGCGGCGGTATATTCGAAAGCCGGCCGAGAGGCGGCGCGCGTCGCGCTCTCGACGCGTCAACGTCTCTCCGGCACAACAGCGCCATTTCCGCGCTTCTCTGCTTCACCTGCGGTGCCTGCTTCGTCTTGAGCCTGATCTGCACGTGTCTGGCGACGTTGGTCGTGCTGTTGGACCAGACTGTCGAGGCGGCGAGTTATCGACACGGTAAGAACACGCGGCCGAAACCGCCAACGCGAAACCGACGAACCGACCGACATTTCGACTCTCTCGCGCGAGTCTCGTGACCCCGGCGGCAAGTTTAACGCTTTTCGTGAACGCCGCGTGAAGTTGGCGCGACACCTCTCGGGATCGATTAATCCGAAATTGCTTAGATTTGAATGTCTGGCGTAGTCGAGACATTGTGAACTCTTGACGAGGCGGTGGAACGCAACGGGGAGTATAGCGTTTCACGCGCGATATTCAAGATCTATCGAACGAACGATCTATCGAATGGGTGAATTTCCCATGATTCCTTTGGGGTTAGGTCCTTTGAGATTTGAGAAACTCTCAAAGTCTATCTTTTTCCGATATGTATATATATATATATATATATGTATATATATTAGATTTTATTCGTTCCTCTCTGAGATGTTCTAAGAATTACTTGAGGATACATTGGGACGAGTTTTCCACGGAAAGATTCAAAACTCGATTATCGATTAGGCAGACTCACAAGTACTTTAAATCGACATATGAGTGACTGCTTCGCGTTAGCGTTCGGAGTTTGTCAGCTGATCATATTCGACAAGATGGCCTGTATATGGCGGTACGTTATTTTGTATTGTTGTGACAGCGCGTTACATCAAGTTATTATATCTTATCAGTCTCGTGTTTTATCACGGAGATTATATTACTAGCGATCTGCAATAACACGTTAGACTCCGAGGAGATTTTCGTGCTGCATCGGCTCATCGCTCTGAATGTAGCTTTAATCTTCTAGGCTCGACCAGTCGGTAAGGACAGTAGTTAAATTTTGGTTTCAACCTGTGCTTTGGAAAAGTCGACCTCGTGTATCCTCATTGGTGGTATCATGTGAGGTCAAGCAAATAATCGAAGGAGTGGAATAAAAATTGTTTCTTTTAAATTATGTAACAAATTTAATCTCTCTCTCTCTCTCTCTCTTTCTCTGCATACGAACACAATATGGAATTATTTTGTGGATAATAATATAAAGGGTCGATTCTACTAGATTCAAACAGACCAGAGGCATTTACAGTGATGGGCAGAGACACAGAGCCTGATGTAAGTTTCCGGCTGCCAAAGGAAATCAAGCCTGTACATTATGACCTTTTTCTACATCCGAACCTTCAAGAGGGTACATTTTCTGGCAAAGTGACTATTCTCCTTGATGTTCTTGATCGGAGAAGGACTATAGCCCTTCATCAAAAGGACCTCGATATTAAGTCTGCAAACTTAACAACTTATGATCGAGAAGAGAACTTTGAGATTAAACTCTCTTCCATCAGTAAACCTTCAAAATATGAAATCTTTGTGGTATCTGCCGAGGATGAGTTTAATCCAGGATTATACAACTTAAACCTGGAGTTTGATGGAAGTCTTCAAGATAAAATAGTTGGCTTCTATTCCAGCAAGTACAAGGATCCTCAAAATAGAACCAGGTAACATGTAATTTTAACAATATATGTTAAATAATATAAAGAATTCTCAAAAACAAATTTGAAATGTTCTTATTGATTGATATGATGAAATAAAAATCATATATATTTCAATTTGTAGACACATCGCTACTTCCAAGTTTGAACCAACCTATGCTAGACAAGCTTTCCCATGTTTCGACGAGCCCAATTTTAAGGCAGAATTTACAATAAAGTTGGTTCATCCCACAGGTGATTGCTATGGTGCCTTATCCAATATGAACATAGAAGTAAGCAGATATTTTATAATAATGACAATCATTATTCTGATTGTAAATCAGTACATACATTTCTCTCTAACGATTGTTTTGTATTATAGAGTACTCTAGTTAACCAACCATCATCCGGTCTGACAACGGTGAACTTTGCAAAGACCGTGCCTATGTCAACGTACCTGGCATGTTTCATCATCAGCGATTTTGTGGCGGTAACCAAGACGGCGAAAGGCCTAAACGGTCGAGAATTTCCGATTAGTGTTTACACCACAAAAGCACAGAAGGAAAAAGGATCATTCGCCATGGATATCGGCGTGAAAGCTATTGAATATTACATAAATCTATTTCAGATAGATTACCCATTACCGAAACTTGGTAAGTATACGATAGAAATATACGAGTCAAGTATGATTTGTTGTAGATTATTTCTTGAATACTTTGTTTCTCCATAGATATGGCCGCTATTCCTGACTTCGTATCCGGCGCCATGGAAAATTGGGGCTTGGTGACTTACAGAGAAGCAAGGCTTCTTTACGATAACGTCACTAGTTCCACCGCGACAAAACGCGATATCGTGAACGTAATTTGTCACGAATTCGCTCATATGTGGTTCGGAAATCTTGGTATGTATCTCCACACACAGCGCTAAGTGCCACACATACGATATCGATTGATTATGAATGAGTGGGAACACACCATATCTTTCTTTTGCAGTTACGTTAGCCTGGTGGAACGATTTGTGGCTCAACGAGGGTTTTGCTACGTTCATGTCGTTCAAAAGTGCCGATACTTTTCTACCAGACTGGGGATTTGTTAGTTATTTTATAAGAATTTGGTATTTGTCATTAAATATATATCGCTAAGAGATATTCATGAGCAACTGTTCTTTCCAGATGGAACAATTCCTTATCAACGAAATACATTCCGTATTCGTAACCGATGCGAAGTTGAGTTCTCATCCAATAGTTCAGACCGTGAAGAATCCAGACGAGATAACAGCCATCTTTGATGAAATAACTTATCAAAAGGTAGCGATTGTTGTCGTTTAATAATTCTGCTAATTTTCATTGACTTTTTATTGATTTGTTCAAACCTTTCGCTTCAGGGATCATCCGTAATTCGCATGATGGAGAACTTTATCGGATCTGATATCTTCTACGGAGCTATCACTGCTTACCTGAACAAGTATGCTTATCAGAACGCAGAAACCGCAGATCTCTTCAACATTCTGCAAGATGCAGTCGGAAGTAAGATAAACGTGACCGATATTATGAGTACTTGGACACGGCAGAAAGGCTTTCCTGTTATCAATGTGGGGAAATCCGAAAACTCGTTCGTGCTAACTCAGAAACGGTTTCTGGCCGATCCGGATGCCGAATCCGATCCCTCGGAATCGGATTATGGGTGAGTTGCTCAAGCTCGAGAGAATAATTAAGAATTTCGTTATTAAGAAAATATATTAATGAAAATTATGTATATTATAGATACAAGTGGACAGTACCCATCACTTACATTACAAACAAGAAATCGCAACCTACTCTTATATGGTTCGATAAGGATGCAAGTGAACGTAAGGATTTTGATTTTATTACAATTTTATTTTATTCAATAATTTTTGAAATTCTTATTTTATACAAATTATATATACTTCGTACACATAAAAAAGCCCCTAAAAAAGTTAACTTCACTTTACAGTGTTGATCGAGCTCGATGAGCCCACCGAATGGATCAAATTAAACGTGGATCAAGTCGGTTACTATCGAGTTAATTATCGTCCGGAGGAATGGGGAACGCTCCGTAATCTGCTTCGGTACTCTCATAAGGTAAATTTATACAATTTTGCTACATATTAATTCTTATAGATTCGCTTTCCAATTAAGTTCCCCTTTAGCATCTTCTAATTGTCCTGCCTGTTTTTGATTGCAGAGATTGTCGGTATCAGACCGCACAAATCTTTTGGAAGATGCCTTTAGCTTAGCGGACGCTGGCGAACTGGAGTATGGTACTGCAATGGACATAACCTTGTACCTTCCAGAGGAAAATCATTCCATTCCATGGGCGGTTGCGAATTCGAAATTGACAACAATTGACACTTTATTATCTTCCACGAATATATCATCGAAATTTAAGGTAATATGATTGATTAAAGTAGATGTAAATGTCGTTTGATTTGTTTCCCTTCTTTTTTATTAAAAATTTATTTTATCAATATTTAAAAAATTTGATCAATCCCCACATCGACAATTTTTCAATTCAGTGTTGCTAAATTTCTGTTTACTAAACTTTATTTTTCAAATATGATTCTAGAATTACGTGAGAGACCTCATAGATAGTACCTACCACGATGTAAGTTGGGACGTCAGTGATAACGAGGACAACGTGATGCTGTATGTAAAATGATTTAAACGAGAAACATAAACGTAATTCTATGTAATTTAATATCTTTTCTCGTTATCGTTGTCTTTTTTAACAGGAGGCTGCGACCAACGGTGCTCGAGCTCGCTTGTACTGTGGGTCATACGGAATGCTTGGACGAAGTTGGCGAGATCTTCAAGAAATGGATAAGCGACTCTAACGATACGCGACCGCATCCCGACACTCGTCAACTTATTTACTACTACGGTTAGTTAATCAACCTTGTTCTGATTTTCTTTAATTGGGTTATCGCTTGGTTATACACTAACGCTATACATACTTCTGTTTAGGTATGCATCACGTTGGGGACGAAGCAGACTGGAATATCTTGTTCCAGCGATTTGTCAACGAGGCTGATTCCAGCGAAAAATTGAAACTAATGATTGGATTAGCAGGCATACGGTCCAATTGGATCTTGAGCAAGTTAGTACTCTAACTATTAACACTCTCTCACACATATTTTCCTTCTTTTTAAAATCAAATTTTCTTTTTGTATTTTGTTTCTTTTTTATTCTTTCTTAATTTAATATTTTCCTTTCAGATTTATTACTACGGCTACCGATGAGAATTACGTACGTTCTCAAGACTTCTTCCGTTGTTTAATCACGATCTCCAAAAACCCTGTCGGCACGCCACTTGTGTGGGACTGGGTGCGCGCGAACTGGCAATTTCTAGTGGACCGGTATACGTTGAACGACCGGTACCTCGGCCGGCTCATACCTGACATCACAAAATCCTTCGCCACAGAAACGAAACTGAACGAGATGAAGGCCTTCTTCGAGAAGTATCCCGAGGCTGGCGCTGGCGCAGCCAGTCGTGCGAAAGCTCTCGAGACCGTCTCGAACAATATTAAATGGCTTGCTCGAAACAAAGATAAACTCGGGGATTGGCTGAACAAACACACACGTAGTAACTAAATCCTAATAGCGACCCGATATTGAACGTATTGAACGAAAGCGCTAGAGTATTTCTCGTTGCAGAATTGAAGAGAGAAGTTTACCAATTTCTAAAATTTTTTCTCAAGGAATACGCGAAGGTAATTACCATTTCTTTATACTCGGACATTTTAATAAATTGCGACAAAAATATAGAAAATGGCCGTGACGGATTGTGGCTTTGTCGCGACAAGTCGCGTGGCTTTATTCTTCCGGTTTTATAACCGTATGAATAAAATCATCAGAGATCAAAAGAGCTGCATTTTACACGTTAGACTACATCGGAAGTTCGGTACGTTACATGATTATACGTGTGTAATATGATATGACAAAGTAATATTATATATTGAACAAGCGACAATGTTGAACATAAAGCCACCAGTCCGCATTTTACACGAATCGTTGCATTTTCTTGTGACATATTTGCGAACAACTCTGTATGTGTATGTGTATATATATATATATATATACACACACACATACAGAGTTATATATATATATATATACACACACATACAGAGTTATATATATATATATATATATATATATAGTCAAAGATATATACACGAAAGTTTATATATACAAATATAATAATTCTGTGATCAAACGCAGAAGGTGTCGTCTTCACTACCAATCGCTTCGTCCGCTCCAGTCCGCTCTCCCCGAACTCACGACTCGGTTCCGTAGATCTCCTCGCACTCATGAAAATTCGGCGAAGGTCGGATCCGTTATGGCTCACGATCGTATTGCAATCTATTTCTCGCGAAATTGCTTTAACGCGCGCTCAATTGACCGATTATTGAGCCGTAAGTAAGTAACCTAGACGTCAGAAGGGTTTTAATTCGTCGCGATACCTAGCGCGCGTGCGAGGTCACTTTGTCATCGTTCCTCACGGGGAGGCGCGAGGAGCGCTCGTATGCGATACATTTTTTTCCCCGGTAACCTTCGACAAGAGAGAAAAACATGGAAACAAAGATCCAGCTCGCGCTGGGATTTTCTCCAAAAATTTCCATTTCCGCAGTCACACGACCACTTTTTTAATCGCCAATATAGTCCGACTCGTTTGTTTCAGTTCGCGACGATCGAAAATACCGCGGGAACCAAAGTGGACAAATCCAGACTATTTTTCGCGAGACCACGGACATTGCGGCCGAAATATTTTCGCGCGACGCTACGGTCGGTGCGACGGAAAACGCTGATAGAAGTCGCTTTTCGCTTTATTTGTACTGTCGGCGAGCGAGTGGAATTCAACATGGAAAACACACGATCCCGAAAAACACTCAGACCCGAAATATGAAATATCTTCGAAGCGCGCTCGTCGACCTGCCATTACGCTGTCTCTTTCCGCTGTGCAACAAGGACGTAGGAAGAACCACGGAGAAACGTGTACACCGTCCTAAAAGTGAGTCACTGATCTACAATGAACAGCAAAGAAAAATTAATGACAACCAAGCGGAACATAAAATCACAACGATGTCAAAACGACGGGGAAATGATCGAAAGTAAGTTTTCAGCTCATTTTCATGTCACTTTGACATCTCATTGTGATTCTCTATTCTGCTTAGGGAGCTCACTGTCTCCACCTCACTCTCTCTTTCTCCCTCCTCTCTTTCTCTTTCCTTTCGTCTCTCGGAAAAACATATTTATGTTATCTCACACAGTATCAGCAAAATATGTTTTAATATCGATATCAAATCAATACGATGATATCAATACGATGATATCAAAACGAGAGGAGCGTTAAATTATGAGCGATTATATTTCGATAACAGACACGAAATTAAAGTGAAAATCGAGAACGAGCGTTTACGGAAAGTTCTAATTACGAGCTCGCCAGAAATTCCGTGACTAAACGAAATATACAGCGGAATCATTTCATGTGTGTGCGCACACACATATACGTGTATGTATATAAGCTCTCATCTCCGCTTCACGGAACAAAAAACATAATTGACCAAGTTTTCCCCCGGCTCGTCGTGGCTCGTTAAGCGCGGACCCTCTGCTCACCTAATCTCTAATCCTGAATCAAGTTTCTCTTTCAGTTCCCTTTGCACTACCACTTTGTGCAATTCACGACCAAGTACTCTCGTATCCCCTTTCATTTCCAACTTACGTATTATGATCAGCGGAACTGGCCAGCGTCGAAAGTCCGCGCACACAAGTGGCTTACAGCGCGTCTCCAGCGCGCTCGCGGCGCGACTTCCGCATTTCCGTAAAAAGAAACGTAGCTTATACTGCGAGCGAGCCGAGAGGCGTCTTCCCGTGTCACAAATCGTACGAATAATTGAAAGTTGATTTTACTCGACCGAGAATCGAGCTTCCGAGCACGGAAAAGCCGAACCCAGACGGGTGATCACGATAACGTGATAGAGACGAAGAAACGACCATTAAAACTCATTCTTGGATCCTGATTCGATCGTTTCGACGTCATGCTGGCGCAATTGATGACTGGCACAAGTGATTTTTGGATCTACCTGGGCAACATATCGCTCAAATTCGCCGCGTGAGACAGTGTCTGTCTCTACTCCATTCCATTCTTCTCCTCTACTCTATTCTGTCATCTTTCTCTCTCTCTCTCTCTCTCTCTCTCCCCCCCCCTTCTCTCCCCCCCTCTCCCCCCTCTCTCTCTCTCTCTCTCTCCCTCTCTGTCGCAGACACTCGCTCTCTGACGTAACTCTTCTTCTCTCGCTACCATTATTTGGTCGAACGGTAATAGAAGCCATCATCATTTCCGCTCAATAAAAATGTGTCAATTTGTTACATCGCGCTCGATTGGCGTTTGACTCGTACGCGGGGGGATATATCTTTTATTGGAAGGAATGTCGCAAATTCTCCAAACGATTCCACGCGCGATGTATCGTGCTTTCTCGGCAATCTTCTCTTTCTCTCTTTCTTTTTCATTTTTTTCTTTTTTTTATCGCGGAGTTTGGAAACAACTTCGAGAATTACTGGGAGGGGTGTATAAGTATTTAGTATTTAAAGGGATTTAATCTTATTTGGGTGCATTTAATCTCGAGACGAAGGCGCTCCTCTTCGAAAAGCGAAGGACACGATGCGTCTTCAAGTTTTCCCTCCTTCTCCGGCTTCTCTCTTAGCATCGCAAATTCCTGATTTTGCGAGGCGTTCTCTTGATTAATTCCTAATTCGCGAAACCCTTTGTGTTCGAGCCGAGGCACGTATCTGCGATTAACCGTTTGCTTACTTAGCTCCTGAGGAAGATCGCGAACGCAACATCGCTCGCGCCCTACGCAAATGTGTCCATCTTATGCCGCTTTATCGTCGCTCTAATACGATTCTCGACGTATCTCGTTCGCAAGTTGAATCCTTCGGAACTTCGCGACAGCCGTTAATTTTGTATATGACTGTGCACCTGATCCGAAATGCACATCACCGTTCGGTGTGCAATGACAACAAAATCTCAGATACGTCACAAGATATTTTCACCTCGGTATTTTATAAAAAAAAATATATATACATAATTAGCGATTGGATATTTTAGTCCTGTTTCTAGATAACCATCAACGTTGCAGGTTTAATAAGTTACTTTTGACTGTAAGAATTCACTTTTCACTCATGATTCGATCGTTCTCTTGTAGAGATGTACGAATCAAGAATTTTTATGTCGAATCGAATCGAATCGAATCTCATTTTTTAAATTCGAATTCGAATCGAATCGAATCATTAAAAAATTTAACATGACTATTAAACATGCAAATAATGATGGAAGATTTTATTATGAAAAGGAATATTGATATTATAATATTATCTTAAAGTAAAATATATATTTAAATATATAAAGTAATTTATAATTAAGTTATTAATTATAAGTTAAGTTAATTACAAGTTAAATGTTCAAACATACACAGGCCCAGATGGCCCGTTTTGTAGCTGATGTGCGCAAACGATAATGTATTTGATTCCTATTCAAATTATTCGGATTCGAATCATAGGGATTCGGATTCGAATCGAATCGAATTACATTAGATTCGATTCGAATTCGAATAATTCGCACATCTCTATTCTCTTGTCATCTTCACGTCACCTCGACGTTATCGTGATCTTCCGTGCTATCTCAAATGATAAATCATATATAATTGGTGTTTGATCTCTGATTATGCACTTGGGTGAGATACTGATCAAATTAAAAATTCGTACAAGCTCTCCGACCGCCCTTACATCGAACGAATTTAATCTCGGTCAATACGTATACCCAAGTCGCGATACAAATGCAGGAAGAGGCGAAATCAGCCCAGAGCGTTATATATTCGATAGTTCATCGGGCACTTAGCTCTCATCCTCCTTCAATTAACGTCACGGATACGTTCGCGTGCGAACGCATTCGCATGGGCGGATAGTTGCGACTCGTAATCAAAGCTCTGCAGGTGACGCGTTTGGTAGATCGGAAAAATGGAGATAATCCGCGGAGAACGGCAGAGAGATGATAAGGAGTAATATCGCCCGAAGATTGATATCAATACTGAATACCCCTCTTTCTCTCTTTTTTCTCTCTCTCTCTCTCTCTCTCTCTCTCTCTCTCTTTCTGTCTCTGAATTCCACGCTAGAATTTCCAAGTATACGAAGATAAACCGGGATTATAAAAGGAGACAACAAGTTTACGTGCTCTCTTCAAATAAAATCACGCCAAATTGACAATATTAAAATATTGCAGAAACTTGAAGGAAACGCGCGACCAAAGTAAATATTTTACTCGCACAAATAGAAGTAGCAGATAAAATTGAAACGTTAAAATGAAATATTATTGCTAGATCAATTGCCAATATAATTCCTATTATTATTTTACGAAATATTAATATTAAATTAAATTATATCGAAAAATTATTACAAGAAGAGGGAGAGAGAGGGAGAGAGAGGGTATTGAAGAGGAAGAAAAGGGAAGAGAGAGAGACAGAGAGAGAGAGAGTGCATTCCTTTTCCGGAATACCAATATCTCAAAACTATTGGTTGATATCCTTGTCCTTATATCCTGAGGACGTGCGGAATTACCACGGCATAATTGGCCGATTTCTTCATCGTGAAATCGAGCAGAGCCGCATTCGCGACCGATTTTTCCTCATCTCTCCTGTCCGTTTTTCTCTCGGATTACGGAACAGGCAATAAAAGATTCGGCGCGAGAGAGAACGAAGCGAGCGAACGCGGAGAGTTCATAAATATCTTGAGATTTATTCCCAAGATCAGAGAAAAAAAAATGACGGCCGCACGAGGCACACAAGTGACAGAAATATATAGCGGTCGCGTGGACCGTGTTTCTTTTTTTTTCATGCTCTGTCTCTGTCTCTCTGTGCCTCTTTCTTTCAATTTTCTATTTTTCTCTTCCGAGTCCATTCAGTGATCTCACTTCTCTTGTCTAAGACACGCGATAAGAAATATAATATGTAGCTTTTCCATGCGTAAGATGTTCCTATGTAAAAATGTTACACTCGCTCTCGTCTTCTCTCTCTCTCTCTCTCTCTCTCTCTCTCTCTCTCTCT